TTCTGTACACCGTAATATTCAATAGAAGATAAATATCTTCTAGACTTTTCATTACAAACTATATTGGTTAGGATTTTATCTAACTAGATTAACCAGTGGATCACTTTTGCCAGGGACCGCGCCACAAACAATTCCTTGATAAAAGCTTTCTCAGATTTTGGCATCATCTTCTGGCATATATGGCAATATAACTATTATTCTGTACGCAGTCATTGCTTGGCTATAGTTACCCTCCATATTTTGACAACGCTTTATGAACAATCTAATTTATCTAATCACAATACACGAAATGCCTTAAAGTATATTAGAATAAAACCAATCAAGCATATCCCCTGCTTGGGTTAAATTTCGGTTTATCGGTGCTTCCCCCAAAGGGTAAATAATGTGAGTAGTCCCAGAAACAAACTCTATAAAGGATTTCTCAAGATAGTTGATGGAAACATCAGACGATTAAGAATTCGTGACCGATTTTTGAACAGGGTAATGGAAGAATCATTATGACCTTTTTAACTCGTTCTGAAATCATACTTATTAGCAACAAAGCCAATGATACCTGTAAATACGAAGTTCTATTCAAATAGTCACTGTATTTTTCCATTTAATTCCAAGCTACTAATTGAAGTGTGTGTTCTGTAGAACACGCCCCGTTTCAATTTTAATAGCTCATACCTAGGTGTGCAGAGAGATTAAAAGTGACAAATGAAAGTAGAGTAATGGTTAAATGCAGCAATTGCACATTACAAACATGCAATAAACGTGATTAGTTAGTATAATTACAGTTTCATGCTAAATGGAAGATTTTATACCCATTCAAACTGTTACACAAGAAATGAAATGTGATCAACTTGAAACTGAAAATAAATACTTATTAACGCAAAATTTTGTTTGTATACACACATATATGCACTTACATCTTCATCCTCGATGGAGTAAGCAGAGACCTATTAATCGCCTACATTTTAGCGACTATAAGATTAATTCCACTTACGTAATAGGGACAGGCCTATTACTGTCAACCGGACACATTGTGAAATAGATTGGTAAATTGCGAGTTCAATATGAGAGCAACAATTAGTAAAACGAAGAGGTAAGTCCGTGTGGTGACGGATTAAGAATACGGAGTGTCATCCCGTGGGTGTCGTAAGAGCTGACTAAGGGAGATAATTACTTAAAATAGTAATTAATAATTAGATAAACACATCTAAAAACACATGTAATATGTGAGTCGTCACCTAAATCAAAACAACCAAACAAACACACAAACTTTATTGTGACAGTCCCCAGTAAATTAAGTCAATGTAATATCTTGAACAAAATACATTGCTCCTATTTTCACGTCCGTTATTATTTTTCATTATCGAGCTATAAACTAAACTAAAGTAAATTATTTTAAAAATACAAGGTGTGACGTCATGAATCTTTATTCCATACAATTTTCTGAAGCACCATCCATTTGACCTTTAACAAACCGAAAATATTTTACTTTTTCTTGTGAACTACCGTATTTAGAACAGGGTAATTTCTTGAAATTAAAACAAATTGTTTAAACGTCCTCATGAAATTAATTATTAAATAAAAACGTAAAAAGCTGTATTTGTTACTGTGTCCAAGTTTCTTATTACTTTTTAATTGTTAAACCTAAATGTAAAAGTAAATTAGCAAAAGTATGACGTCATAAACCATTATTTCACACAAATTTACAGAAGGTACCGTTTATACATTTATTAGAGTGGTTTGTAGTTCATTTAACTTTTGTGGTTTGAGACAATTTTATTTCTAAAACACAGAACAAATATTGAACTATGTGAGATCCAATTGCTTTGAGATTCGTGCTGTAATGCTGAAAAATAACTCACTTACATAAATACTCTCAAGAAGTATAGTTCTAATTACTTGGTTTTTGTGACGAGTAAAATTAGGCTAATGACCGTGACTAAAGTTTAAAAAGACTTCTACATAGAATTCTTTTGTGTGTGTGATGTGATGTGATTTGGCCATTATAAAGCATGACGTCATGTCTAGGTAAAAAATATATATTTAACTTGACATCTAGCTACCCTATTCTGTTCTGAATTCACGTAGTGTAAATCAATCGAGTACAAACAAAAAGAAATTTACTTAAAATAGTATATTTCTGAACACAGCCTTCAAAAGATCATGATTTTTGATTTTTCTTCCTTTAATCTACAAACAAATTCATGGCCCTTTTACCGGGTCGGTTAATGTGATCGTACAAATCTCTGGAAGGAATATATTAAGGTATACCTATGTGTGAAAGTTTTAGCTGTAATGACTGAAATCCAATTATGTTATAAACTTCGTATAACTAGATAACCCTAAGCTTTTGTAGGATGAAACATTACCTCGACCTTCTAAAAAGTTGTCATTCCTCTTATATCATCGTCGAACACGTTTTTAATACCTAAAAATAAACGGAAAAATACAGAAAATATACTTAATTTGGGTGTATAATATTTAAAATAAGAAAAACATGGTTGCAGCGTCTGGCAACACTGTTTCTAGATATGCCGCGATGTCTCTTGATCTTTTTTATGAGTTCCAAAGTCGTAAACGCTAAGCCGTGTACCCATGACTGGTCGTACCCGTTGATTTATAGGGCTTAGTAAGCTATATGTATAAACGGAATAAACGTGATCTCTATAACGTGCTACTTTTAGGTTCTAACCATATTTATGGGCAGAGGCATTGAGGGTCAGCAACGTCGCACTACTGCGACGACCGCAGCGAGTGCTGTCCATCAGGGTCATAAGGAGGTACCGCACGATCTCCTTTGAGACGGCAAGTCTCCTGGCCGGAACTCCACCGTGTGACCTGTAGGCGAGAGCCCTTGCGGCTCTGTATCAGTGGCGCAAGGAGGCGCGGAAGTTGGGTCGGTGTCCTAAGTCTCGAGAAATCGAGGATCAGAAATCCCAACTCCGCCAGATCGTCGTAGAGGAGTAGAAAGGACGACTTTTGCAACCGAGCGCTGGGCGGTAAGACCCGTTATGGAGGATTGGCACATCACGGAATCCTCTCATACCGGTTGATGCAGGTGATCACCGGGAAAGGATGCTTCGGAGATCACCAGTGCCAAGCCAATCCTCCATAACGGGTCTTACTGCCGCGATAATGGCGTGCCCGAATTGATTGTACCTAACACATAATTTATTTGTCCTGGGTGGGTTTCGAACCCGTATGTAATATTTTGTACACCAAGAGCTTTTCGTTTTTGTAAGGTTAAGGAAACCTGCATATAATAATTTTCCTAAGGATGTCGGTAGTATCCAGAAGAGAAGTCCATTTATAGGGAAAAGCACTTTAATGAATCTACTACCATTTCATGCTTATGAGAAAAGACGTTTTGCTTTTTTTGGGTACGTTAAAAAATTAATAAGCATGTTTATGTTTGACGGGCCTGTTGGTCTAATGGTTAGTGGTCCTGACTGCTAAACCAGAGGTGGTTGGTTAGTTTCCCACAATGGACAATTGATTGTGTAATGAGCACGATGATTTATTATGTGACTGGGTGTAATTTATCTATACTATATTTAGAAATATATAAGTATGTTTATCAGTAGTGTGATTAACATAGTACAGGCTCTGCCTAGTTTGGGATCAGACAGCCCTTTGTGAGATGTCTGACGTTATTATTATTATCAGTGCTGGTTTTGTGTTTCAAAAAGTTTTAACTCTTTAAAGAATACGTACTCAGAAAGTTTTACACATACATGTGATGTGAAGTTGCTGTCTTACGATATGTATATTGCTGTGGATTGCCTGACTGTGTTACGTATTGCTGATTAATCATCTCCTATTATTTTATTACTCATTTATATTTAAGTCACGGCTAATTTGATCAAATCCAAATTGATGATACGAAAGGGTTATAATGAAGAAAATATAATGATATTGCAGTCTTACCTTCTTCATAGTGAGTCACCACTCCAGGATATGTATAAAGCATAAAAATTTATCAAAATCCAAGCCAAAAGCGCTCTTAGTGAACATTGCATGAATCTATCTATCTATTGATTCGTAGAGAGTATGTACAAAAGTTGTAACTTTCTACCTTACGTAGCTAATGCTATTGTGTCATATACATTATAATGTAGTGTACTGTTAATAGATCAGAAGTATTTGAAGCAGAAGGAATGTTTGATATCTGTGTAGCACAGTGTATGTAGCACGTCTACGAATGTGCTACATATTACGTAGCTCGTAGCCGCAACCGTAATCAAAGAACATTTAATAATCTTATTGCTTTCTATTGTTAAATGACAGTTATCTTATCCCACATGCGGTAAAACCAAACGGATGTAGATTATTTAAACATATAAAGTTGAACGAATTTTACGTAACCAGCTGATCAGGGTAAAGATAAAACCCGATCTAAACTCTTTAAAGAAAAAAAATGCTATGACTTATTCTTATCCTTAGATGAGCATTTCATATCGTCACGTTTACCAAGAAAGTTCGTTGATTAGTAAAACAGTAGGAAGAAGTTATCGGTCTCTCGTGTTTACCAATAGTTTATCCGCAGTACACAGTTTCTTAGATAAGTGAAATACTTTAATCCCGACGGTCGGGATTAAGACATGTAATCATTGTGATAGTTAGCCGTACTTCCGCCTAAATCGACTGGTATGTAAATAATGATAGAAATTTCAAATGATAATGGAAGAGAATAGGAATAGCTTTGAGCACAATAGTGAAAGCGGAGACATCGTCTGAGACAGCAGTGGCGGCAGCGGCGACAGCAACGTCGGCGACGTAGTGCCGCAGCCAGCGCGGCGTCCTTGCCGCCTGTAATACGCGCGAGTCACGCGAGCGAGGTCGATAGCGACCGGCGGAACCTCCGCGTCAATTATTCAGCACGCGACCGCAACCGTCACCGCCAACACCACGCGCCCGGACAAAGGGCGAGCGCGCGCACTGCGTCGACACCTACCAGCCACCGGCGGTCGCCCGGCCGCACGTCCTCGTCGAGCTGGAACCGACGCTTATCCTGCCACACAAACAGCCCAACACTCCGTATGTAATCCTCGTGCAGGCGGTGAGGGGTCACGAGAGCGCGCACGGTGGTCGCGCGTTACGTAAAGGGCGCGACGTTGCGCGTATCGGCGCGTGTAGCGCGCTCGCGGCGGGCGCTCGGAGCGGTATCGCGCGCGGAGTGCCGCTACACAGTTATGCAACGCGCCGCCACCATCGCCCGGACGGGGAAAATCGAACGCGAGGGGCGCGGGAGCGTGCGCGCGCACCCGCATCGATAGCGAGCCGCTGTCGCGCCGTACGACCGCGCACCGCCCGCGCCCGCAGCGCCGCCCGAACACGACCACCGTCATCCGCAATTGACATTACACCGGAGACACCACTCATTTCTGGACGTACGCATATATTTGGACCGACTTAATTGATACCGCCGGACGCGGTTAACGTTCATTATTAAGGGCTACCTACAAGCAAAACTACTTACTTAATGAAACACCATTTTGCAAAAACTCGCTGCCTATCTAAATCGTGCTTTTAAATAATATTGGCTACTGCAGAAGCTATGAAGGACACGAAATTATCTGATCTGATAATTAGGTATATGCGTTAAGTCAAAGAATGTAAAGTCGACTTTACATTATTTTGTGGGTTTGCTAGGATGTTACGAATATTCGCTTCGAGGAAGGCTGCGCGGCTGAAGGTCGTTCGTACGTGACCTGCTTATGGACTTCCAAGACTATCGAACGAGTAGTGTTTGCGCCAACACCAACTTGTGTTGTCCTAGAAAATGAACTTTGAACAAAGCATCACTAACATAATGCAAAATAATTATTTTATTTGTAAGACAGTTTCTTAGAATCTTCTTATACTTGATAAAATTACTTAACAACTTTTTGAAGCGAAAAATTGATTATTACTTCATCATCATCAGCCTATCGCAGTCCACTGCTGGACATAGGAGTCTCCCATTATTACTTATTATTGATTATTACTTACATTGTTTAAATTTTTTTGTAAGAATGTTGGACTAAACTTTCTTGGCAAATCTCGCCAACATAGGGGCCATGTTTGAGGTAAAAGTGCGTTTATAACATCGTCAATACTACAACAGTCTGCAATCTGCTATCTTTGGATTAAGAGGTCGACGACTTAACCATTTAGTTCAGTATGTGTGTATAATGAACGTATGTAATGAACGTATATAAACAGCTAGTCGCTACGTAAGCAGTCGCCTAGCTGTCTTAGAAGAATCCGTATCTGCTATGTTGATTGTAAATATGTACTCGTGTAAATAGATATTCATTCCTAATGATCTCGAAGCATCTATAGCACAGTTCCGTCGATTGTTATCGTAAATCAAGTTAAAAAGATTTTAAGAATTGTTTGTTGTAACGAAGTATGTAATTTGGTGAGCAAATGAATCAATATTTATAAATCTATAGTTAACTTTAGCTTTGAAATTTAGATATTTCTAAGCCTTGTTGTAAATCACTAGTTTTCACAGCCAGAATGTCGAAAACATATTCATCAGCGTCGTTGCAGTGTCCTTAATACCAAATTGTGTATAATATGTGAAGAGATAACCACTGCTCAATTACTTTCTTAATGACGAGTGTCAAATTTTACAAAAAAAAGTGGTTTTGTGATATGAGAGGTTCGTGAAAAAAAGGTTCCTACCATCCACTACCATCTGGTGTACACATTTTTAACCATACATAACTAATCTTGAGACTGGACAAAAATATTTCGTTTATATTTCTTTGTTAGTTAGAAATTAGATAGTTGAATAATAACACTTGCTTATTAGTTATTCTAATAGTTTACGTTTAAACTTGCCAAAGTGATGGGATTTGAGGCCATTGGGCAACTTGCAACTTATTATAAATTTGTATAGCCATAGAGAATGAATTTCTGCTGTTTAGGAACCAGGTATATTTTTTGAAAAGTAATAGATATACAGATTTCCTTTTATATTTCACAAATAAAGGTTTAGGTATCAGTGTAATCTGCATTTTTTGGGCTCTAAATGCACATAACCACAGAATTTCCCTATATGACTAGGTACGTGGTAAATTATCCTATTTAAAAAAAAAACCCGTAACTAAGCTAGATAAGCTTTGAGCAAGTTTTATGAATATATTACTTTCAACTACAATATTTGTCATAACTTATGGCTAAAGAAGTGGTCGATGCTACTATATCTGGTAATAATAATAATATTTATTTGCTGATCAAGGGTATACAGTGGTGTTAACATTACATGTGATATCATTCTCCTTAATCTACCTTTACTGGCATGCAAATTGTATGTAAATTTTTAAATACGAGTCAACGTAAAATTGCTATACATTCATTTCAAAAATAGTTTAGGTCCAATGCATTCCAATAATAAAAAGTAACAGTACAATTTTATAATACAAACAAAACAATCAGACAACCAAGTATTTCAGAATATGTAAAATAATTAAATTCATTTTATCAGGGAATGTCAATACAGAAATAAAATGTCAATATGTCAAATGAGTAAAAATAATAAATAATAGAATTATAAAATCATGTACAAACTTATAACAAAAAAAAAAACAAACAAATATAAAATAATAATAAAATGTCAACAATATGATATGTCCAGAAGATAAATTTGTTTTCCTAGCTATATTATTTACCTTCGAGAAAATCACTAATTTTATAACAGGTTTTACTGACTAAAAAGTCATGTAAACGTTTTTTGAAAAGATACTATTTAAGATTTTTAATTCATCGGGTAACCTATTATTTATTTTTGGTGCCATGCAGTAAATACTCTAATGTAGTAGTGCTGTATTTGTTTTATGCAATCGTAATCTGATTTGGGTGTTTCTCCTCCTGTTACGAGTGACCGCTTCCGCCAGGGTCTCAAAAAGTTCCGGATTTGATTTTGTAAAAGTTTCGGCTTCAAAAATGTGCAGACAAGGTAACGTCAGGATTTCATATTGTCTTAAGTAAGGTTCACAGCTATCTTGAATTTTAAGATTAAACATCGCTCGTATACACCTTTTTCTCTTTTATTAGCTTCATTTATGTGTTAAATCTCTAGGAATTTTTTAGTTTGCGATCTATCAGGTACGATCCTATAAGACTCAAAACATTTCCCCGTATACCACAGTGGCCAAGTTGAATGCCTGGGTCATATCACAAAAAATAGCGAAGATTGGTGCCTTAATATCCAACTTTGACATTATTACAAACAAAAAATCTTAAATTGCTCTATTTATTCTCTTCTTGTGCCTAAACCCCTTTTGCTCCAATGAACAATATTCTAACCAATGTTAGAATATTGTGCCTTTCTAAATAGCTGTAAGCTTGTTTGTGGATGAATTTTTCGAAAAAAAATTAAACCATAAGTTCTTTGTTTTCTTTTTTGAAGAGCGGTTTTACCACAGATGTTTTAAGTCTATAAGAAAATATACTTGATATACTCAAATTCAAGATGTGGCTTATATGTGCTGATATATATCGACTTGTGAATTTAACCGCCTTGGTCGATATTTCGTCATACCCTACACCGTTTGTGTTTTTAGTGATGAAATTATCGTTTGAACATCCGAACACTGTAAGAAAGGGTGTAAGAAATAAAGTCATTTCTTCGGTCTATATGTTTAGTAACTTTAGTGCTATGATTGGCAACAGGAACAATTTTATCAACAAAATAATCAGTGAAAGCATTAGCTATTTCTCAGTTTCCAGATCAAATTAGGGGAGAAGCTTTGTTTAGACTGATTAATAATTTTCCACGTACTTTTGATCACATTTTTAGAGGTTTTTAGGCTATGAATATTAGGTTTTAGGTAATCTATATTTAGACGATAATTTTCTTTTAATTTTACTACATAATTTTACACCTTTCGATATCCATTTCGTTTTATTAGTTGATTTTATTGTGGTAATTTTATATGAAAAACATAAATTGTAGAAGAGTTTAAACGCATGAATGCATTATATGCTACATTTGGGTCTTCAGTTGAATATATGTCCTCGAATGGTAAAATAAATATCAATGTCATGTCTTAAATGTATTGATATTTTCTATATTGTAATTTTGTTGTTTAATGCGCCATAACTTAATTTCACCTTCTTTGTTAATAGGGCATTCTATTAATTGTACCGTGTGATCTACATTTCTTTTGAAAATTGTGTAAAAAATTATCTATACAGGTTTTACTTTTCATCCTAGTAGGTTTTCTAATTTCTATATCTAACCCATATTGTGATGGCAAACATTCAAACTAGATAGTGGTCCTACTACACACACACAAAGGTTTTAGTTTTTGTTGATGTTTCATTTTTTAATGCTATCGTTTGTTCTTTTTAGTTATTTTTCTTGCACAATAATATTGTAACCACTTAAATATGGTATTTTGAAAGGTCAAGTAGTGATCCGAGTGGGGACCTAGTGTCCTGTCTTTTTACACAGCTTTTTATACTTACCTCAGGCACCAGCGATCCAGTATCAGGAATTTCCTTCCTAGGGTACACCTGGTTCCACGGCTATTAGTACCCGAGACGGCTTGCAGTTCTTGGTCGGTTCGAGTCCGACATAACCGACGGTGAGTGGTAAAGACACCAGAGATCCACAACCGAAATTGTCAAATGCTGTAGCGTAATCTTATTGTATTTCGGTTTTGGTGAGAAAATAAACCATAAATTATTATTATTATCTAAAAACTCATTTCCTTACCAAACACCACATCACACATTACGTGGAGGCGATACAGGTATAAACGCCGAACTCGACTCGATATTTACTTAGGGAAAGCCAAGAGGAGCCGCTTCACTGGAGTGATACCACTCCAGCCTTACAGAAAGCCGGTGTTAAGTAATACTTATGTTGCCTTTCAGTAAGTGCGCTACCAGAAGACTAACACCATTCTGGCGGGGCCAATCAAAAGCATACTTGTGACTTTTAATTTTTAATTCTCTATTAGCGGCGTCAGTTAAAATCACTTGACCCGTCTGCTCATTTCCTGATAAAATAATTTCCGAAAAAAATATTCCGTACGAGTCCTGTATGATGCCGTAGTGACTTCATTTTGGTATCAACATATTATCAAGATATTATTATGGTTGAGTTACAATAAATGCCAAATGCATTGTATGAATTCACCACAGGCATCACACTTTTTTTTGGAACGATACAACCTACTTAGATGAAATGTAAATTTGCTATAAATGAACTTCTATGGTTTAAAGCAGTTCATTATCAAAAAAATTAGAAAAAAAATTAAAAACACTAATTTAGTTAACTACCTAAAACAATAATTTTCTCTCGCCAGGTTTTAGATCTAAATTGTCCACAGCTGACGCGGTGCATGACTTAACTAATTTTATTACTAGTGAACTCAGCAAAGGTAATCTATATTAGAGGGGGGCAGACGAGCAGACGGGTCACCTGATGGAAAGTGACTATCGCCGCCCATGAACGTCTGCATCTCAGGAGTCACAAACGCGTTGCCGGCCTTTTAGGAAGGAGTACGCTTTTTTATTGAAGGTTTGAAGGTCGTATCGGTCCGAAAATACCGCAGACGATAACCCGTTCCACAGATTGGTTTTGCGGGGCAAAAAGTGTCTCGCAAAGCGCACAGTAGTGGAGCGCCAACTATCCAGGCAATGAGGATGAAAATTTTGCCGTGTGGAACGATAGCGAAAATTTGCGGCTGGTAGTAGTCCGAACAATTCCTCGGAGCACTCTCCATGATATATGCGATAGAGAATGCAGAGTGAAGCCACATCTCTACGTAACGCCAAGGGATCGAGCCGATCTGAGATGGAGAGTTCACTGCCAAACAAATTGGAGGCTCTTGGTGCGAGAGATACGAAGCTTAAACTTCGCAGACTATTTAAGCGATCGGCACCAATGTGTTAAAAAGGGAAATGTCGAGAGCGATGATGAAAAAATACTAAGTTTTGGCGTTCCCCAGGGAAGTATCCTTAGCCCTACGCTTTTCTTGATATATATTAACGACTTATGTAATCTCACTTTAAGACATGGAGAGATAATATCATATGCTGACGACACGGCTCTAATCTTTACCGCAAAAACTAGCAACGAATTATATGAGAGAGCCCAGTTTGGCTTTAATATTGTATATACTTGGTTAAAGAATAAATTAAATGCTGACAAGACTAAATATATTCAGTTTTCCTTGCGCAAAAATCAATAAGCTGTAACTAACACTTCCATATACGCACACCAATGTCCCCTTTCCTGCCAAAACTTGCCAGTGTCTTTGAGTAATTGTCCTGCTATCTAGGAAACCCATAACATAAAATATCAAAGGATCATAATGGACAATACCCTCTCCTTTAGGAAACACATTGAAAGTTTAGTAAAGAGAGTTTGTAAATTAATGTATGTATTTAAAAATTGCGAGCTATAGCAGATTTAAAGTTGATCACTCAAGGGTATTTATCTTTATGTCAATCAATCATCCAATATTGTATAAACTCATGGGGTGGAAGCACCAAATATTATTATACTGCCTCTAGAAAGAGCTAAAAAAGCGATTCTAAAAGTAGCTAGCTCCCGAACTTTGCTATTTCCCACAACTATATTATATAAATCGTGCAAGGTGACTGTCCGCCAAATTTTCATACATCACACTGTACTAAAACAACATACATTGCTTAGGTACCTATCACGCTGATATTTCTAACAATGAGGCTCACAGTTAATTTATTCAAATAGATTATTTTCTAGGTTCATTTCTATATGATAGATTAAACAGAGAGCTAAGTATTTATAAATTAAATTATGTTAGCTTTAAAAACACATTACATAATTATTTACAAAGAACAATGGCGGGTCTCCATAAAAAAAAAATGTAATCAAATAGCAACGTCTTGTAGTCTTGTTATAATTATAGCTGTATTTGTGCCGTTTAAAAAAAAAGATAATAAAGAATTATGTTCTCTAGCTGTAGAACTTTCGTATGTTAGGTATATTTGTATGTCACTTTTAATGTGTCTGATGCATGAAATAATCATCTTATACTTATGTACATCTGCATATATAATATCCAATAATTATATTCCTTTTCCTTAATTTATTACCTATTTCAGCATAAGTATAATGAATTGTAAATTCTAAATCTAAACTAATGAAATCGGCAGCGGCTGTTCGCCGCCTGTCGCGTCAGACGTTTAGTCTTTATATAAAACACAGAGCGCAAACGTCTGTCAAGAGTTGTCAAAAAACCTTTGCATATATTCAGCTTGCAATTGCAACTATATACTTTTTTTTATTTAATTATATTCCACTACAGGATTTTCAAATTCGTAAATAATGCGTTTAATAAAGCACCACAAACTATATTCTTTATCGATTCAGTATTTAGATTATAAAACTATTATCTGATTACCATATAACTATTAAGTGATTACCATATTACGATACTTTATTGGACAGTATTTCCACTACTTAAAAAACATAGCTGTAAATGTGGTATTTCCAACTCCTCCAATTTTCTTCTGAGTAATTTCGTTGCGGGTTCCAAGACAGTTTAATTTCTTCCTGGGACTGCCCGAGTATCATAACTCGGTGTGTTCGTGGGTCACTGTTGTGGATCCTGGTGTACAGGAGTTACAGTGGTGGGCGTGTGGGTGGGATTAGTCCCTGCAAAAAAAAAAGACCCCTCTTTCTGATTCTGGGGGGAGAACTCAAAGGGCGGTAACTTGTGGCTCGTACTTGTAACTCTTGAGTTGCAGGTATCTATTTGCGGGAGGTAGTTACTTACAATCGGGTGACCCGTCTGCCCGTTTGCTCCTATACCATAAAAAATATGTTAAATTTTATATATGATTTGGGTAAGTACATATACATCTGTTACTTTCCATCCCAATCTTGCGGCAACATGATTATGTAAAATATGTTTTATAAAAACCGCCACATTAGGGAGGTGAGCGGGCAAGATTGCACTTTTGATTGAGCTTCGGTCCTGGGTGAGGCAACGTACTCGTGAAGCCCCAAGCCGACAGTGGAAAAACACACCCGTCTGCAGGCAGTCCATAATGGTGCTGACTGGAGTCTCACTACGGCATACTTGCAGATTGATGAGTCTCAGCAGATTAGACGTCCGAATAGTTGTTGGAACGATAACGGGGCACCTAGCTCTGAACCGACAGCTATTCACCATCAATGATTCCCTACTATTCACCATCATTCAACAGACAGTCCACTTTGCAGAGGATGTCTCACGTCACATAATCATGAATTGCGAGGGAGTAGCCACACAATGAGCAAGTATCATACCTGATACGGAGCTGGTGGAGCCGGATCCCACCACCAATACCAACATCAGGCAGGCCGATGTTTGTTTGCCAACTTAGATATACAAAAAATTAAACTTAATAACGTTTGTATGAAGAGATGCGCAAATCGTCACCTGCTCAAAAAAAAATTACCTTGCATATATTCGGTTCGGAATATTTTGCCTACTTCTGTTAATTTGCCCGATTTATGTGAAAAATTGTTCTTAATTTCTTTAAATATAGTCTTTAATTTCGAATTAAAATATTCTTTAATTTCGAACAGCGTGGCAGATTTAAAACACAATTATTATTATTAGTTATTAACATGATTCTCCATAGTGACAACAATAAAAACCGTAAAAGATTCCTTTATTTAAAACCTCAAATCACCCAAAATTATTTGTATGATATATTTTCTCAACCACCAACAAAATTTACTTATATATAAACAAAAAAGAGCAGACACTCTTTGTTTCTTATTTCACCGTTAAATTCCAATACGAAACCAAGTTTCGAAACCAGTTTCGAAATAAGAATAATTCTTCGTTCGAAACTGGTGGTTAAATTAACAACCATGAAGTACATCCAGATCAGTATTGGCAACTATTGGAGTTCACCAAAAAATATACTTATCTCATTTTTGTGGCGGAAAATATGCAATTTACTTATATTACATACAAAACATTCATTTCTTTCTTTACATATAAATATTTAAATTTGTGTAATAGTTTCCTCTTAAAGTTATCATAAAAACAACGGGCAACAGTGACACAGAATCAGATCTATTTAAGGAACAGAAATGCAGATCTCACATATATGGGATCCACCCCCTAACACTAAACAAGGCTGTATTTCAGAAAACAACCACTAGAAAATTCTTCAGATTCCCTTTTGGCGTGATTTTGTATCAGACAAACCCATGCAAAAAGACAATCTGAAAAACTTTTCACCCGTCAAGCAAGTCAACACACCATGCATTGGTGTTTACAACAGTTTTAGAGTCATACAGTCTTCTTAGATGTACAAAGGTAAAGCTACAACTATAAATTAGACAATAAAGTTAATATTGAACCTAATTGTTCCTCTAACTTTTGTTTCCCTTTACCATTGTCGATCACAAGATTCCATTCTGTATAATCGTCTAAATCACACTCAGAAGTCACATCATCTACACCAGGCTTAAATATGAAACCTCTTTCCTTCCTAGTATTCTCATCAGCCGTTATGCGGATGGTTCTAATGATATTTTCATATGTTTCTTTGAACCATTGTATATCTGTTTTTCGTCTGATGTCGCTCACTATCCATATGGGCTTCTCAGTGGCTGAAAAAATACAAGGAATGCCTATCAGATTGAATGCAATTCCCTTCCATCAGAGGAGTAGAGAATTAAAATTTTTAGTTACGCTTTGGGTATTAATCAAAGGAGGAAGGATTTGTATTTGTTTTTATGTTTGTAACCTCAGAACTCTGTTATTTATAAATCAATTTGGAAAACTATTATTTAATTTAGGAAATCATTGTATCCCTAAATGTTGATAGCTAATAAATAAGGAATACAGATTAAAATACAATTCATCATGATGTCGGTTTATTGAAGTCTTTGATACTTTTGAAAAAGGTAATTAGAGTTATTTTTTAATAATGTTAAGTATACAGTATAAAGTAGTCGGTTAATTACTTTTATTGCACTGTATTTACAAACAATTACTATTACAAACAAGAAATCACTATATAACTCGTTAGTCGCACTAGAAATTCGCTTTGATGTTAAATCGCCATTTCGTAAAACAATACTGCCCCGTACGGCCAACAAACACGGCTTTTATAGTGCTATCGAAATTACTAGACTAGTCTCGAAGATCCGATGGAATGTTTCAGACAGAACCACGTACAATAAGGCATCTACAAATTTATATAATCTTCCGATATTCGACACTATATGGTACTATAACCAAGTATCGCAATTAAGCACCATAATCTCAATGCATAGCGTTGTGCCCCACTTGATACTAGATGGCGCTGTCCTCCAGACACATCACAAGAATCAGTCAATCCTATGGCGCAACAATAATCTATTAAAACCTACAAAGATTTTCAGATGTCATTATTTAAATGTATGCATATAGCTATAGTCAAACCGCCGTAAACTTGGTCCTCCCGATGGTTTGCCGATGGTGTTCGGCTATACACGACACGATGTACTAACACGATATCTTCAGAATCATTTGTTAGACATTTAATCTACACACGAAGTAATAAAAATAGAATTTATTTCTCCGTTATTGCAGTATATAGTAAGATTTTATGATTAATTGTAAAATTTTGTAAATATAAATTATATTCACATACAATTTAGTAATGAAGTAAAATAATAAATATTCTTTATTAGAACTTTAAATGTTAGAACCTCTGTGAGCCTAACTTCAAGGGAGTCAATAACGGAAAGATTCATAAGGTAGCTAGGTAGGCTTGGTACAGGTTTTGTTTCAAGTTTATTTCTCTTTGCAGTGCAGTTCTCCTGCGTAGTTTGCTTCCTTAGTCGGCTCTTACGACACCCACGGGATGAATACGAGTGGTCATACTCCGTATTCTTAATCTGTAACCACAAAGATAATCAACAACTTCTGCTGAATATTAATCATCAACAACCTATAACAGTCCACTGCTGGACATAGGCCTCTCCTTAGAACGGAAGTTTTTGCCTACTATACCACACTGGCCAGATGGGTTGGTACGGGGTTTGTTTCAAGTTTTCCTACTCTTTGCAATGCTGTTGTCCTGCGTAGTTTGCTCCCTTAGTCGCCCTTACGACACCCGCGGGATGAATAGCTGTGGTGACACTACGTATTCTTAATCCGTCACTACACGTAACTTAACATAGAAACAAAAGAAAACGTTTTTTTTTTGACATAACACAGCCATGCTTCACGTCAGTCACTGCCGGCAGACAACGACACACTGGTTAAGCGTACCCCGCCCCGCGTCCCGCACACCATCGGGAGGTCCAAGCTTACGGCGGTTAGACCATAGGGGAACTAACAAAAAAAATACTATAGAAATATGTGGCATATGTTGTTAGCATCCTAATTAAAATAAAATAACTACATAGAATCTATGTAGTTATTTTATGTTGTCATTCATCTATGTCATAGATGAATGACAACATAAAATTAACATGTATTACAATACACTTACCATCTTGACATGCTATCTTACAAAAGTAACCATAATCTTGGGCACGCATTTCATCACTCCAGTTGATCATATCAAGCCGGTATTGTTCTTTATATTCACTGTCACTAAGGAGTTCGTTCAAATTTAAGTTTTTTTCTTTGGCCCAATGACTTTTTATGGGTTGTGATATCTTTATAACATCACATCTCTCGCCAAGTCTGTAATTTTTTTTGTAGAAAATAAATATTTTAATACCATTCTCAAATAAAACTATTCTCAAAAATACTGTTGTTAAAGGAAAAGGTTAAATATGTGTAATATTAAATTGATAGCCTTATGAAGTATTTGGCAACTGGAAATTATTAAACTAAAAAGGCAACTTTCAATTTGCCTTGGGACTTGAATGAAAGCTGTTATCAATGCTTCATAAATTGTGGGGCACATGAAAATATTGTGGCTTCAACTATCTAGGTCTGGAATAACAATGTAAAAAGAGGATGAGAAACCTTCAGTAATGAAGACACTGTAAGAAATTTTTATTTAAGAAAATTATCGAAAATAATATATTATTTTTGTATATGCATGTCTGTTTCAGTAACAGTAACCCTAACCCAGTCCTCACTTTCCTTTTACATTTACAAATATACTTCGATTATGATTAAATCATTAGGTAACATATATTTTAACTTACAATTTCTGTAAGTGAGTTGTTAGAAAATCTTTGCCGGATTTTCTCTTGCCGCTGAATAATAAAATTATCTGAGGCATTGTCACAACCCTGAAAGGAAAAAAATATTTCATGTTTTATTCATAATATACTCGTAATAATTTCTAAACTGTCATTATCGAGCTGGTTTTCACTGTACAAAAATAAATTATAATCTTTATTAACGAAAACTAAAACTTTATTGTACATAAAATCTCATGAAAAAGCAATAGAACACCATTCGTAAATAAAACTTATAAACTTACTGTTAAAATGTAAACAAACAATAAGTGAATGACAATAACTATTAAGTAGTCACAAACAACACAACTCCCTTTTTCCAATATTCGTGTAGTTTTACTATCAAAAATGTCAGATGGGAATTGACAACAGCTGTCAGGTCATCGTCCAAAAACTGACGGCCTACCTAGTCAAAAAGCAAAACTATATTTTAAACTAAAAATACGATACAATGACCAAATAATATAAAGAATCTTATATAATAAACAATAATAACGAACTACTTACTTTACGAAAATAATTACTTCAAATTGTAACTATTTTTTTAACCACAGCCTCTTTTACCTTTCACTACTACTGACACCTACAAACTACCTTCACAAGGTTTTGGACCAGTTTGTACTCATTAACTCAGGTTTTCTCTACTTGGCAATAGAGGGCGCTTTAAGAAAATATTTCTTAATGTATTACATTCAGTGTTTAACTCTTAGAGTTTGCATGTTTTAAAAAAAATATATATTCTGATTTAAAACTATATAAAAAGGAGGAAACATAAATACATTTCTGTGATGAGAGAGTCATCTTTCATCAGCCCTCAAAACATAGAAAAGTAATTTATTTTAAATTCAAAAGATGTCAGCATTTGTACTTTAGCTTATATAGCATTTCTACCACCGAATATAATTACTCAAAATACCCGGATTGTTTGAAAAAGAGTTTATTTTTAATTTTTTCAGATTCTTTGTGATACATAGACAAAATTTATCTCATTACCATCACTAATCCTTCACAGGTTCGTCTATGAACCTTCTTCCGCACCACATGTTGCTCACATTACTGATACTTATACCTACTTCCCTCGGTGTTGTGCGTGAATATAAATCTAGAAGTATATTTTATGGGCGATGATTTAAGAATATTGTGTATGATAACCGTGAAGAAGCTAAAAGACATGTATCCACCTACTATACTATTGAAAACTAATCGATTTAATGAACTTGTAATGGTCGATTGAGTATTCAATGGTTAAATTTTAAAATTTCGTTTAAATCATATTTATTATAATGGGTATCTATTACTATTTCGTGACTATTTAGGATGTTACAAACGTGATCTACAAAAGCGATAATCTACGACTTCACAAGGGGTTAAAAAGGGCTGACGTCTGAACATCTGCTCTCCCCCTGCGAAAAGGGAGAAAACACGCAGGTAACTTGAAGGGTAGGTAGATATTCAACATTACTAGTTCGGTAAGATACGTTAATATAAAAAATATTTTTATTTAGCAAGGTAAGTTTCTGTATAAAAATTCTTGGTGGATAGTGTTAAAAATAGTTTCCTACAATACCTACGTTTAAGTACTTACCTAGTTACATTGATATTTATAGCTATAATAACTGTGAAAAGCCGATTTGTGTAAGAAAGTTTGTTTACGATTGTGCTAGGTACCTATTTGATAACTTCGAATGTCCTAATCTCTAATGTGTATATTATAGATAGGTAGGTACAGGTACAATAGCTCATTAAAAGTCATTAGGTAGGAAGACATTTAAACTAATCTTACACACTATACTTAATATAGTAGATACAAATCCGGAGATCGCGCCGGTAGGTAGATATAAGAACTACGTCGATATTCAATATAACTTATCAATATTGTTCATTACTAAGCCGATATCCGTGACTTAGTGAATGAATGCCTCACGGTATCTACTCCGACACGTAGGTACCATATCGTCGCCCACGCCACGTTATATTATAGACCCAACATCACATACATAGGTACGTATACATCTAACTATTAAATAAATTCGTGCCGACATGAAAAAATGGCGTTATTTGAATGCCGGCCGATAATTTAAATGTAGCAACAACCGCTTTTAGCTTACAACCTTAATTGACTTAAAAATGCTTATCAATATGACTAAGAGGTAAAAACTTGAGAGCACAAACAAAACATTATCAAAGTAAACTTTATTTTAGCGGTGTAAAAGCTCAATTTAAAACAGAGCTAATACTAACTTGTACTGTTTCGTTACAAGGATAAAGTTGGAAGCACGATGCACGCTCACGACTTTCTGAACAACTCCGGACATGACATTCCACGTTTCGCTGTAGATTAGAACGGGACGGATAGCGACGTACCCGCTGAAAAAAACGAGACAAGCGACCACCGAGCAGTCCACGTGGACTGCTTAATATCAACACAGGAGCAACGACCAATAGAAAACGGTACCGCTAATGTATTTCTCACCTCCGCACTCACACCAAGGACTGCTGCCATTTTTACATTATTTATGGGATTCTAAACTTTCTGCCGTCCATTTAGAGTTTTAAATCTTGTGTTGCGGTGACAGCGTATTCCATTTCTGAAATGGCTTATAAAATGTTGATGTTATGATTTTGGGTCATATTGCTGGTGTAGTAGGGTTGTTAGTCGTATGGTAAGTGTTTTGCGGTTCTTGAATTTAAAACGATTCCCAAGAACACGGGCGCAACTTGGTGAAGGTTGGAGGAGGCCGCGGTGCAAACTGCATCGTCACAGCACCCCCCAGCCCACCCCGGAGTTCGAAGCGGCGCCCTAAGCCTCCCGCCGCGTATTGTAGGTTCAGTGTATAAGCTGTGTGAGTACGTCTGCTCAGAGTCAACTGTAGTGCTGAGCCACGACGTTTTCATAGCTCTCAGAGATGTGCACGCAGCCCCTGCACACTGGACTCAACGCGAGCAATATTTTGCCTTTGCACTTTCTTATTTTTGTAGCGTCCGTCCGCATCTGTTTGATCAAGTGTACAGACAGACTTCTCACATGAGGTAATTAAACGGAAAATTGTTGTTTACCTCAACTTGTATGTGTATAGTTGTATAATACATACCTACCTGCGTTAACACAATAATGACTAGTTGTAATACGAACATATTTTTCTTCTTTAAAGTTAAAATACCTAATGGGTATTGGGCAGGTACCTACCTACTCGTTTAATCTACTCCGAATATGTAGGCATTTAAGTATATAAGGGTCCTACATGTTAAATACCTACTAATATACTGTTAAATAATACTTAATTAAGATGGTGCTGATTGCATTTGCAAATTTACACTACTTTTTAGGTTTAGCGTTTGACAATAAATCAAGTCTATAAAAGTTCTTACGATAACCTGTTTTAGATTAGATAAAATGATAATTAACACTAGAATAAAGGCCAATCAAACGATTTTATCTAATAGGTACATTACTCTCAATGCACTCTATAAAGTAGATACTGATCACAAACGCAACTCATTTATCTGTGTACCTATAGGTACGTATACATGTATAAATAAACAGTGTTTATGCTCACATTTATAACACAAAAAACCCTTCTTTATAATTCGTAAATGCTTAGAATAATAACGTCGTGAATTTACCTATGTTATGAATTTCATAAAATACATTAACGGGAAAAAATAAATAGGTATATCTTTTGTGAGTAGTAGAGTAGAACACACACAGACTAAACACGTTTAAAAACCCCTACCTATTTAATAAAATAATAATGTAAAAGTTTATTTTACATTATTACTACATAAATAATATAGAGTTTGATTATTTATCACTTCTAATTAAATTAGCTGGTGTTGTGTAGGTATGTAAATATCATTACCTACCAATCAACGTATAGTTACAATAAAAATAATCGCTAGCTATCACATAGACACAAACTACAACTTTTCAATTGACATGTGAACGGGTGGATATTTTTACTGCCGTATTGGCAAATTATGAGCAATATGTGCATCAGTTGGTTCATTGTCATAAAAAATTGAAGAATTCACGCCCCGCAGTGCTAAATAAAACTCAACGTAATAACTTGTATAATACAAAGTGGACATATAGGATAGCTACCTACTAACTTTTTGTTTCACAAGTTTTCTTGAAACACTTAAAGCACGTCGACTAATATGGCTACTGACGCGTTCCACGTCGGAAGCGTCGTGAATTATGAACCATCCAGAGAAAACATTATCGCAGTGTGGACAAAACGTTTCCCGCTTTATTTGAGCTAATATTTGATTTATAGAAGAAGTTATTAGCCCCGTCCGCCCCTTCTCGAAAAAAGCTGCGGAATAAGTTTTTGTATCGCCAACTATTCGGAGTCTAAACACTTTTGTGTGTGTTTTATTTATGATCAGTGACTTATGTTAATAGTTTTAAGCCACTACGGACGTCTTGTATAAATAGGGCATACATATTTAAGGATCACATACATAGATAAGGGCTAGACAAAAAACTTACGACATTTATTAAGTCATTGCACAGATATGTACACATGGATAAAAAATGTTCATCACTAACACATTTTATAGTACCTAACCAACTCGTTTAATTTAATACACAGTGTGTAGTCACTCATTCCGTAATAATCGATATCAATGATCTGTCATTCATAACTTGAAGTGAGTGAGAAGGTGTAGTGTGTAGTGCAGCAGGGGCAGGGCGCGCGTTCTCGGGCGTAGGTCCGACATACCGCACGACACGCTCACATTATTCAATACAAACAAAAAGGGAATAAATGCTGGAATAAAATACTTTTAATTTCCCCGGGCGCCGCTAATCGGGCCGTGTCGATGGAGGGCGCCAAAGCGCCCTTTTTATTTTACTATATGAACGCAAATCCGGCGGGAAAACGGCGTTAGGCAAGCGGGGTGGAGGGTCTAGCGGCGGGGCGGTGCGGTCACGCGCTTGGAATTAGCGGTCCCCCCCCCCGCTACCCGCTCGTCCCGCGGGCCCCCGCACTTGACCCGCGCGAGGTGTCACCGAGCACGTTACCTACCCGCAAAAAAATAGGGGGTGAGCCGCACCGCACCGTGCCAGGAGGTGCTGCACAGATTTCATTTTTATTTTTTATGATTCCGACTCAATAGGACTTCGATGCCAACTGGAACCGATTAAGGAAATCAAAGAATAATTGTTGTAAAAAAAAACATGTGCTTGATCATAAGTGTTGTGGTGAGACCTACCAAGCTAGCCAATGTTTGCCATAAAACTTGAAGCATGCATCCGGTGATATGAGGCCGGCGACGCACGGCGCAAGCCACTAATTGACTCACAAACAACCCATAGAGACCGCAAATACTGAGATATTGGAGCTTCAGTGCCAAACAATGACTCACGTTGTGTCATTATCGAGCTGTATTGTAAATTATATTTTGAGATTTCCTTCCCTGTATTGATAATACTATATTTAAGTTTAAATACTATTTGCAATACCTAAGCCGAGCCACTCTGTTTGCAACTAATTAGTTGAGCACTTACCTGTTTACATGAGTGCGAGACACAAATTAGTTAATTGCTACATGAATAAACTGGATACATTTATTGCCAGCGATTACTCGGCATTACGCAAAGGAGATTACATCGTAGATTAGTCATTAGTCATAGACAAATTACCTACATATGTGTTAAGGTTTGAATGTCAAAATAAATTAGAGGCAAAGTGCCTCAGTAGAGTCCACATTCTAGAGAATTTATTAAATAAAATGTGTAAATGTCGACAAGTAGGTACGGAGGCAGAGCGTGCGGCTAGGTTTCCGCGGTGCGGCTATGCGCGAGGTGTCGCTAGGGATCGGCGGTCTTCAGCCGGCAGTAAAAATACGTGCGGGTATTTCCTGTCCCCGCGACAGCCTCGACTGGGGAGACGCGGGGGCGATAAATAACTCAGTTTGCGGCCGGAGGGGGCGAGCGGGCGAGCGACGCGCGGGGCGGACGGCGACGGGGTGTTATTTGTAGGGCTCGCGTGTGAATTATTCGTGGGTTCACGCGCGCTGTTTGCCCGCCGTCTTGTGGAGTGGCGCGCCGACCCTCGTTAATGAAATTTCATATCGTTCCCGCCGCGCTTCGTTCCATTGTTGATACTTGATGCACATCACTGAGCCATTCAAACGGCTGCCTTGTTACACTTTACTGTCACTAATGAGTTTATCTACGTCTACCTTATTATTATTTGACAATGAGTGGCCTTAGTGTCGGTTCTCGGTGGGTAATACAATTTTCAGTAACGTTGCCTAATTATGGTCTGAGTAGAGAAAACTTATAAATAAAAATGTTTACCAAATGATTAATTTTACATGGTTACTAATTTAAAGAGCAAAAAAAGTGTGTGTTAGGCTATGAGCGCACTGACGCGTATCGTTACACATTTCGTGTTCGCATGCCGATAGCAATAAAGATTATGTAAAGCAATAAACGTTTTTCATTGGTGTTTGTTGAGTCGTCGGTCATCAACGTAGCACAATTAGCGGGCAGCGTTGTTGCGAGTGCGTGGTCCCAAACAGGTGTCACAACTTACAACGCAATAGAATATTAATAAATAGCCTTTAGTATGTAAATGTCTGCATGCTTGTTAGCAACTATTCACTTAATTTAGACTGCACCGATTTGCTAAAGTTCCTAAGTAAATTGGTAAATGTTTAGTGTGAGGATTACTGCAAATTTCTGAGTCATATTTACGTACGCCTTAGCCGCGTTTAAATGCGGCATGTGAATTTTATACCAAATAAATGTTAAACGAGTGTGGTTTGCCTGAATGTGGTCTGAATGTTTACACACGATAATTACCAAGTTGCTTAGAAGTTTTAAAAATATAATATATGCAAGGACGAAAAGAATCTCTACGAACAAAAATCTATGAAGGGTTCTTATGGAACAAGAACTCATCTATGAACTTACATTAATATGTAGGTACCTGCTCCTACCTAAAAATAATTAACAATGATATTTAAAAAAAAAAACAAAGGAAACAAGTTTAAAGAGACTAGAGAAAATATCGTAGGTTTTCAGTCAGATGTCATATAGGTACCTATATTGATATATATAGATATTTGACTTAAAAAAAAGAACATCACTACAATGGGTCTTCATCCCATTAGTGGATAAGTTGATTACCTCGTTTATATAATTCAACGTTCCTTAAAAGCTCTGTCTTTGTTGTTGTTGTTGAGACAGAGCTTTTAAGGAGGAGCGTGCAAAGTGCGTGATGTGCGGTGTTGAATTATATAAAACGAGGCGAATAAGATAAACTGTCTCAGGGAGGTGTTCGATAGCAGCTTAGCGAGCGGA